TGGAGATGGAGTTTAGTCCAGAAGCTTCCTCAAAGGACTTGATGAGGCTGAAAAGGTTTGCTAACATTCTATTGTCCATGGTAGAGAAGAGAATAGTGTCATCAGCAAATTGAAGATGATTTATCTGAATAGGAGGGCTCCATAGAGAAAATTCTTCAATCAACCTGGAGGAGGCTTCTTGAGACAAGAGCCTACTGAAACAATCCACAATAAAAATAAAGAGGAAGGGTTAAAAGGGATACCTTGCCTTAAATCCCTAAAGGCCTTGATCTTACCTCCTAAGTTTCCCATTGTGGGTGAAAGGGGATCCTTAGGTCGCTGGTTTGAATCCGGCAGGTCGGACTTTTTATTTTTTTATTTTTTATTTGCCATTCCTTTTTTCCCCACTCTTCTTATTTTATTATTTTATTTTTGTATTTTTTTGAGAAATAAGTGCATTAAAAACTAAGAGTAAGATCAGTTTTTGAACAACGTTGGATTGGAAAGCCAGGAAGGGGAAATTATCGATCCAATTCCACTCCTCCGAGAGAGCACTGTTCATCGGCTTTGTTGCATACTGTTAATTTCTCTTCTCATCCACGGGCCCAAATAAAGTTTAGTTAGGTCAGAATCCTGTGTTGTTCAATACATGAATTACTTCAAGTGAATCGGATTCCAAGTAAATGGTTGTTTGTAAATTGTAATACTCTGCAAATGGCCAAGATTTCAAGGGTTTCAACATCGCTTTTGTCTCTGATGTTGCAGCACGCCTCGCTAATTGCCACCTCCATTGCTTTCTCCAGCGTCGGGCACTGGGAGCTTGAGCAACATTCTAGCAATCAAAGTATTCTCTACATAAATGGTGGGTAACAAACAATTCTTGTCTCTTTTGATCTTTGCTTCTTCTGAAGTTGTTTATCCGAGTCGTCTTAATCTGCTGCCTGAATAATTAGTAGATCGTTGCTAATGGAGTTCATTTGTTTTAACTTAGCGATGTTCGATTTAACTCATTTTTTCTAGTGAAATTAATGGTGCTAATGGATATGGTAATTCGAGATTCACAATGTTTTGCTGATTTCTTCATAGTATCTTTTTTTGTCTCATTTTCTATCGTGATTTTCTATCTATATGTGAAAACTCAGGCAAACACTTTACGCTTGTATTTGACGTGCATACGTAACACTCTTGAGGCTGCGATGTGCCTTCAGGTATATCTGTCATGTTCTTGTTTCAATTTAATTCTGGTTATGAGTGCGATTATTTGCAGTTTGTTATATTATTTTTCTAATTGAACTTATTATGTTCTGTAAAATAGTTTGTCCTTGATAATCTGAGAGCTAGGTTAACTGACTTTTCATTCTATGGATTATTAGCATTACAACATGAAGGATTCATGTAAAGCCAAACACGTTGTTTGTATTTGTTTCTTGCAAGTGAACATACATTGAGGTGTAAATGAGTGGTAATACTTCTTTTTGCATCAATAGGTTTTTTGAATTTCCATCCAAAAGTGCAAAAATTCATTAAATAACTTTAAGTTGTTGATAATAAATCTAGAGAGTGCTATGCTTTTAGTATTGTTAGTCTCGAAGAGATCGAAAATACTTTCTAATTTGTACTTGTTGAAGGAGAAAGAAGTAGTTCAACTCTAATGATGGGTTATTTCTCCCTCTTACACTTACATTATTCGTCTTGGAGAAACTTCATAGACAGCCAGGTGGCTTAAGTGGCCGAACTTGAATATCCCTCCAATTCAACATTGTGTGCATTAAGAGTAATGAATATCAGTGTTCTAAAGTAGTAAGTACATTGAGTTGAGAGTGAATGAAATTTAAACCTATGCGCGGCTAGTTATATTTCTAACTCCACTGCTACTTCTTGAAATCATTGATTACTTTGGATATTGTGAGAGTCCTAATAGGGGTATATAGGGAGTATTGTTAGTATGTAGGAAAGAGGCAATATGGTAATTAGTTAGGGTAGGTAGGTTATAAATAAGGGTGGTAGGGGAGAAGGAGAATATCTTGGAGAATAGTTTTGTACAAGGAACTTGAGAGATCTCTTTGGGAGAGAGATAGCCCTCTCAAAAGGCTATCGATATTGTAATTACTCTTTTGAATTGCAATATAGTGTCCTAGTTTGTGTTTGGGATCCTAACAGATATTTGCTTTCTTTCTAGTATAAATATCCCGGGTTGTCCGACTTACTTCAACATATATATAATGTGTGATTTTTCAAACTTTCTTCTTTCCACATGATTGCAGAATTTTCCTTGTCAAGAAGTTGAAAGACATAACAAGCCGGAGGTTGAACTAAAGTATGGTTTTGTCTTCTAGTTAATTTTAAAACCTCTTACTATAATTATTTTAGAATTTAGATATATCTTGTTTGTGAGCCACTGATGATCCGAGTTGCTTGGTTAATGATTTCATTCATAAGCACAATTATGAACATTCTTGAGGTCACTTTATGAAAAATCATGACACAGCCTTACGAAGTTTATAAAAAGCAACTGAACTAATGAACCTTTAATCTTTGGGATATCTGTTAGGTGTTCGCTTATCAATATTGCATAAGGGGTGTAACATTGTGATTACCATTCTTTTCAACAAATCATATTCGGCTACTTCTTAGCTTTGCTGTTACGTGTTAAGTCTTTTAATTTCATTTTCTCATTGGTCGGTTTATTTAAGCTTAAGCCTCAGCTTGTATTGGTTAGTTGAACATGCTGTTGGTAGTTGGTTAATGGCTAGCTTGTATTGGTTAGTTGAACATGCTGTTGGCAGTTCGTTGATGGCTACCTGTCCTAATGACTTGTATAGATACCTACCATGCTACTAGGCAGGTAGATAATAAGAACTAATTTTTAGCAAGGCTAAGTACAACATTCTCCAAATAGTATTAGTTTCTTGTTTATACCATGCTAATTATTTTCTTGTTTCTCTTCCTTACAGGACTAGCCCGGAACTTATTCTTAATCCTGTAAGATTCTTTTACAATTTAGATGACCTATTTGACAGTGGCCATTTGCATCGTTAAATGTCATTATGCTTGTGAATTTACTAATGCCTTTTTTTTTTTCCTTTTAATTGGAGAACCATGTTCATGCAAAGAACATTCTTAAGAGTTGGGAGTAGTCGGGGAATGAGTTTTATATATCTGTGATATGTTGATGGACATCTATGATCTCGCTTCAATGTTTTACTCTTGTAGATCTCAATATGTAGAAATGAGTCGGAGAAGTGTTTGATTGAGACATCTATAAACTCACTTCGTATCAGTCTCAAGGTAATTTTATTTTCTTCTTACTTTTGATCTTTTGGCAATAGACTTGAAGGGGAGTTTTGAGGAATTTTGTTTATATGCTTTGGTGAGGTTGATAAGGCGATAAAGAGATAGGTACCTTTGTCCTGCTCCTGCAAGGCCCTTTTTATCGGCTTAAAATTCTCCTTTGAATTGGAGCTAGTACTTCAGAACTTTCTCATGGATTGAGTTGAATTCTTAATATTGGAGTCAGTAGCTTGATTCTCAACTAGTTATAGGAAAGGAACCATCGGGCGCCGACCCTAACGGCTAAGAGGGGTACTTCATAGTTGTCTATTATTGGTTCTTGGTCATCTTTTTAATAGTTCATCATTGGTTGGGTTCGTCCTAAAGGTTTAACTTCAACCTTGAAGGGCATATTTACAGTCATATTTCCCATTCCATCTATTCCATTACTTAGGCTAATTCCTTTGATTCTGTCTTGCTTGTCTGAAATACTGCTGAATATCTGAGATATTCATCACAAATCACCACACCTTGTTTGCAAATATCTTATACTTGAACTCTTTCTTGTGCATAGGTTAAGCAAACAGATGAACTGGAGAACATTTTAACTAAAAAATTCCTTCGATTTTTGTCAATGAGGGCAGAAGCTTTCCAAGTTCTAAGACGAAAACCTGTACAGGTATTCTCAGTTCTGAACCATGAAGTTGACTTTATGCTTAAATTTAATAAAATATATTCAAGAGATTGGTTGAGAGAAAATGGTACGGTGAGTTCTAGGTTCATCTTTGTGATATAAAGAGATAAAAGAGGCGTTCTTCAATTTCTTTTATTATCAGAGTGGATGGAACAATAAAAAACTGTACCTATAATAACATATGGATAAACCTTTTATTGATGACTATTTGTGTCTCTCTTTTTCTTTTCCTCAAAACTGAAGTGAATAATAGTGTGAGCCTCTAGTATCATGAATCCTGTCACATGTAATAGTGTTTTTCAGAAAATAATCTTTTATTTCCTCTTTCTTCATTTGACAGGGATATGATATTAGCTTTCTCATAACAAACTATCACTGTGAGGAGTTGCAGAAGCAAAGACTCATTGATTTCATTGTACAATTCATGGAGGCAAGAATTTTATCACCATCGCATAAAGTTTTTCGGATTTTTTTTAACTCGATTGCATCTTGTTCAACTTAAGCTTCTACATGATTTTTGCTCCTGTCGTCCTACTATCCAATCTGCTCTTCTTAATTTACCTGTTCGAACAAATTAACCGTACTTTATGGATACTGTTTTCTTTTCTAGGCTAGCCACGGACATGCATTATTTCAGAAGCTTTTTTGAGCTAGTACAATAATCTTGTCTTCCATGTCCAGGATATTGATAAAGAGATCAGTGAACTTAAAATGTCCGTGAACACTCGAGGAAGGCTCGTAGCGACAGAGTTTTTAAAGCAATTTATTTGACGTCTCTAGTATAATACTAGTATCTAGGTAAAACTTCGACTCTCTCTGAGCATTTTTTTTTGAACAAGAAACAAACTTCCCATTGAATTAATGAAAAGGAATGACAATGTTCAAAGATAAAAACTCTCGAAAGAGTGACTCTCTGAGCATTTCCTCGAGGTTATTCTGTTTTTGCTTGTTGTGCATATCCTTCTACAGAAACATTTGTATCTTTTGCATCATTACCAAAAGGTCCTGTGGCCTTTACTTTTTGAAAACTTTCCTGTACAAGCAATCTAAAATTAATGCCTATAGTAAGAAGTTTCCAAATGATGTATACAAATTATTCATCCCTACGGATGAATTATAGGTAAAAAAAAGTCAAACTGGAACTTTCAGTTTCTGGTTTCCACTGATTGAGGAAGGGGTATTTTGCAATGAACAATATCATACACTTTGGAGATATGTACCGATTTATAATTCTATTTGATAGAGGAAAAGTAGATACAAAGATGAAAATGATTTATTCGATGCTATGGATGACTGGTTTTGGAGGAAGTGTTTCGTATTTGTAGGTTAGTTCAGTTTATTGATCTTTGCTTGTGCCTATTTTGCCATAGGAGGTTGGTTTACAGGTACAATTTTTGTTACTTCATGTAAGCGACAAAATGCCTTGGGGAGTTGAAAATAATTGTAGATCTATTGAATTTCAAATAGGTACACCTTTCAAACTGCACTATTTGATAGAGGAAAGGTAGATGGCAACTAAATCTGCTAGAAGAGAACCTTTTAGGGGTCGTTCAAAACGACAGACTTGCAAGGAGTAGAGTTGAGTTTGTTCAAGTGAAGGATTTAAAAACTCCAAATTTGACTAGTAAATTCACTTTTCAACTCGTCCAATTTACTATTCAACTCTCCCAAATTAATACTCAACTCCTTATTTTATTTTATTTTATCTATTTTCTCTTTTTTCAAGAGGATCCCGCATCAAATCATACATTTTTTTTCTTATCTCTCTTCTCACAATGTGGTCACATCATTTCAAATTTGGTGTGTCCCACCATTTTTTTCTTAAAAATAAAAAAAGAAATTTGATTTTGATGGGTTATACCATTTCTTTCTTATATTCTTTTTTTTTACTATCCTTCCTTTCTCCCATTTCTCTCTTCTAATTTTCAATTATTTAATTTTTTTTACAATTTAATTGTTTCGGTTTTACTTCCCCACGCACAAGTATACATATGGAAATTTTCTAAATTTTAATGCAAATATATTTTTTATTTCATAGATGTATATAATTTTCAATTATTATAGATTATATGAATTATAACTCAATTTTATGTATACGTAGTTTTTTTTTAAAAGATATGTATATGTTGTTATATCTTGATATAAAAGAAATTTTAAAATGTCAAATTTAAATAATTAAATTTAAATATATGATGAAAACAAATTAATTAAGTAGTTAATAATCTTAATTTTTATTATCTCTTATACATGTTTAAATAATTATAGCTTGTAAAAATATATAATTTTAAACGAGGACCTTAAAATAGGAGTAATAGTTTATTATGAATTTATAAAGATCAAAATAGAACAAATATTAAAATAAAATAATATATATTTTTTAAATTAGTCATTTTCAAAATAACAAAATAAATTGCATTGTTTTTGAACTTATTAAAATAAAATCTAAATTAAAAAATATATAATTTAAAATCTATAAAATAGATATATAATATTCAGTTTGAGTTTAGTTCGTTAAAATAATATAAATATGTATGATTTTACTTTTAATATAGTGGTTTTAAAAGCTATTTTATTTTCAAGGTAATTAAATTAAAATAATAACAAATATAAAAAAAATAAAGTAATGTTTATCATTGTTTAAATAGAATTTTAATGTTATGCAATAAAAATAAATGAAATGAATAATATATAATTGTAAACGTAACCCATTTAGTTAAAGAAAATTATCATAAAATAATATAACTTAACATTTAAATTTTAGAATAAATTTTAAATGAAATTTATTAGAATCTAACTTTAATGGTAATTTTAACAAAAAAAAAAAGAAGGAAAAAAGAAAAACATAAATCCAATTTACTAAACTTGGACTTTTGATTTTTTTGGATTGTATCCAAAATTCATAACTAAATTAAATGCGCTAAATGCATATAAAATTTCTTTTTTTTTTCACTTTTTTGTATTTTATTTTAAGGAGTAGATAACTATTTTCGGATATAATGTCACATTGGTCCTTAAACCAAACATAGAAAATCAACAAAGATAACCATCTAACTGCTATAATTAGAAGATTAAAATGACAACTAACCTTGTCCTACTTCTGATCAAAATTGAATTCAAATTCCCACCTTTACTTGTACTAAAAAAAATCTCCTCTAAAAACACTAGAATAAACGCACCCGTAAGCCAAGCATGTGTTGCCTAATAGCATTTTGCACCGATGATTATGGTTAGTTTAGGGTTCGTTTGCCTTTAAGAACGATTTTTGTTTTTTTTTTTTGCGTATTTTTAGTTTTCTGTTTTTTAAAAATAAAAAACAGTTATCAAACATAGTTCTTTGTTTTTATAAAAATAAATAATTACCAAACATGTTTGGTAATTATTTTTCGTTTTCGTTTTTAAAAAATAAAAAAATAAAAAATATATACAAGAGAGAAAATTCGAAGTAGGTACCGATGTCAATAGTGTGGGGGTGGAAGAGAGGATACGCTTTCCCATTTTCATGTTCGTGAAAATTTTTAGTCCCCCATCTTCAACTTATTTTTTGGTTTGGGAATCCATATCCAAGTTAAAGAATTCTTATTTGCGAATGCGATATTCACAAGAAAAATTACTGGTTTTATAATTAATTATAATTATTTTTATAATTCACAAGATAAAAAGTGTAATAAATATATATTAGTTATTTTTAGAATTATTGTCAAAAAAAGTTATTTGTAGAATTATTATTTATAAGTATAAATAATTAGTTTTAAAAAAATTTAATATTTTATCACAATCTAGTACAATAAAATATAATATTAATTATTTAAAAATTGAATTGGGAACGGAATTGGGATATGCATTTCCTTTTGTGTGAGTGAAAATAAAGTTTAGAGAGATGGAAATAAACTTCTGAAAGAGAAATTTTAGAGATAAAAAAAAGGATTTAGGGAAAAAAATTAGTGAAATGAAAATTAAGAACAAAAAAAAATTCTAGAGAAAAAGAGTAAACTTGAGAGGAAATGACATGTTAAAGAAAGAAAAATAAAATAGAAAAGTAAAATAGAAAGAGAGAAAAGTTATAGTGAGAAAAAAATTTAAAGATAAAAACAAGATTTAAAATATACTTTTAGAATAAAAGTAAATAGATACAAAGAAAAATAAAAGTTATAGTGTGTTTGGGGAGAGAATACCCTGGACACGTGGAAGATAGCTATTGGTGCTCCAAGACGACTCATGAGGCATGACCAGCTCGAACCGCTGAGATTGCCAACACTAGCGTTGGCAGGTGCCAAGTATGAGGGCCGAGGTGCGACATTGTCAGCGGCGTGATTATCGGGTGTAACCGTCGGTCCCGAGATTACTAGGTGTAACCGGCGGTTTCGAGATCACCGAGTGTAACCGTCGCGAGATTAACGGGACTACCACCCATAAGTAGAGGACCTCACTCCATGATAAGGTACGATGATTTCTGACCTCGGACTAAACTTGGAATCCGACCTATACTGACTTGATCGTCGGAGTGCTCACTTTTTTGTGCAGGTCCGCCTAAGTGTTCAAAACGGTCCGAGACCGAGTTCGAGCTGTAATCAGAAATACACTGTTGTGCATATCCTTGCATAAACATTTGGCGCCGTCTGTGGGGATATATCGACAATCTAAGTCATCCAAATTCTTCTAAATCAACACGCGAGCGAAAATGGTTCAACCAGCAAAC